GTGTAGATGATAAGCAATAGCTTGTATCACATTGCCGAACGGGCTATATATATAATGGTCGTTCGACTTAGCGGCAAGCAGATATCTAACGAAACAATTCGCCGTCAACACCCCAATCTATTATTAAAGTTTAATATACTGTACGTGCAAAAATGTAAAGTCCTGAGCAGGTCATGAAGGCGTAAAGACACGTATCCAAGCACCCGAAGGACAGAATCGAATAGAGGAGAGTAAATAGACAGCGGTAACCCACAGGCTCAGCAGAACGGGCCCTCATGGCAAGGATATAAACAAGACTAGGTATCTATGCGGTGGTTTCTTCCTCATGGTGATGATGCTCATGCTTCGACTTTTCCTTCTTCTTTTTCTTCTCGTCCTTGCCCTTCTTCGACATGGCTTCGGCCATGAGCTGCTCAAAGGCCATGTAGTCTCCTTCTTCTTCGGGATCACGCTCTGCCTATAGTTGTTCACTTAGCCTTCTGTGATGTTATAGAGCTCTAACGGGAAGGCTTACCTTTGAATAGATATTGCCAGCAATAACCAAGGCGTGCGCGCGTTCAAGGCGCTTCTCTAACTTGATGCGCTTGTCACCCAGAACTTGATCACAGACGTCGCGCAGCACGCTCTGAATTTCAAACTTGCTGCCTCGCCATGCGGCCGCCAGAATCTTGCCGGTGACCTTCTTCTCGTACTCTGCCTTCTTCTCGTCGGTCCAGTCCTCTCCGCCCTTCTCTTCCAGCTTGGCCATCTCCTCCATGGTCATCTGCGCATCGATAGCTGTCGAGATTGTGGTCCAGGTCTCCTTGGCCAGAGTGCCCTTGTCCTTCAGTCGAGAGAAGAAACCGGAGATGCCGAGGAACTTTTGAGACTTGATGAACGAGGTAGCTTTTGATGTGTAGGTAGCACCAATGGCATGCAGAATCTCCAGACCGAACGATTCCATCTTCAGGTTTTCCACTTCAAGGCGAATTTTCTCTTCAAAGGCACGGGTTACATCGGGGCCCTTGTCGGTTTCCGTCCAAACGCTTAGCTTGTCGACCAACTTGGTTGCCAGGGTGTTAACTCGCTCCTCACGAGCCTTCTTTCGCTCCAGTTCGTAAGCAGCCAGGCGCTCTTGCTGCTCCCGAGACAGGCCCTTCTTTTTCTCCTTCTTGCGCAGCTCCTTCTCCTCCTGAGACAGACCGGCTGCGTCCATCCGAGCCTCCTCTTCCGACTTGTCCATGATAGCCTGTTGTCCCAAGTAGCGACGGGGTGTACTCGTTCCGGAGGTTGGCGCCGGCTTCTCTGATGGTTCCGCGGCTGCGGCTGGAGCTGGAGCTGGAGCTGAGGCTGGGGCTGCGGTGCCAGCGGCATGGCTGGCTTCCCCTGTCGCCGCAGCGGCCTTGACCTCCTCATCGTGGATATGGAGTTTCTCCTCCGCGGCTTCCGCCAGTTCTTGCTCCTCTATTTCCTGCATAGTGATGTCCATGGTCGCGGTCAGGTCCTTCATCAACGAGATTTCACCAATCAGATCCACAAACGCGCTGCCACCAAAGATCATGCTGAAGAATTCGGCCGGGTCCTCTTCATCGCCTATCAGTATGGTTCGACAGCTCGATCACACCTGAACAACTCACCGAAACCGCCACCTGGAACTGCATCTTCTTTTCCGTATTTATCATAACGCTTTCGTAGCTCCTCATTGCTGAGCACTTGGTAGGCTTCTCCAATCTGATCGTACCGAGAGATTAGTATCTATTACGCTTCCATATATTGAAGTATACACACCGCCTGAAATCGCACATGCGCAGTCTCATCGCCGGGGTTCTTATCTAGTCGAGAAGTCAGAATCAATAGCAAGAACTCATAAAGACATAGGAGTGATCGGACCAGGATGAGTCACAATGGCCAGTTTCCGATAGGCCTTCTTAATCTCGAGTTCCGTGGCCGTGGGTGGCACGCCCAAAGCATCGTAGTAGGTAGTGTCTGCGACCATGATCACTTGCAGTTAATCAAGCCAGAAGCGCGATATGTTTCGTCCCCAAGGTCGCAAACGATGAGAAGTTTTCCAGAGAAAATCAGGAGAAAAGCAGATTGTAACCTGCCCGACTAGTTGGCTGACCGAGGACGATAATAATTTTTATCTGCCTGATGATGCTCTCCGACGGCAGTTTCGTCATGGCGGGGGGAAACATCTGTCGGGGTATTATAAGTAAGTTACGGTCACAATTACCGCCAGCCACACCAGGTAGAGGGGTAAATAACAGGAACCAACACTAAACTGGACCTCAAGGGCCGTAATCCATGCGTAATGATAGGAGCCTGCTATGCGCCCACGCCAAGACACGGTCTTTTCCCTCGAATTTCCCTTGGAGAACCTCAGGCTCCTTAGCCACTCATTGTATACGAACCGAAGACTCTGCTTTGCCCCTTTACAATATACGGAGTAATAATCTCCCATCTCCTGTCTTCTTCTCTTTCTTCCCTCCTAGGTTTCACCTCTCGTCCACCTTTCCTGTCAGTGAGATCTGTTTCTTCTTTCCTCGCTTCTCCATTTGTACATCTTACAGGTAATTGTGTCAATAGCTCTTCTTGATTCGCTTGTTGTGTTCCCCACATTCCCACTATTTTTTTTTTTTCCCTCTCTCGCCAACATCCGCCTTTCCGTCCTCTCCTTTTCCGTGTCCTCTTCCCTACAAATACCTCACCATGGGCGCTGCAGCAAATGCTTTTTACTACATCTTCCATCCCTCAGAATTGAGGTCGATACTTCAATGGTTGGTCTTGGCCTGTAGCTATGAGCACTTCTCCTTGCCCTTAGTGTCTATGTGCCATTGCTTACGGACACCCTTTCGTCCTTGCTGATAGGAAGATCTGGCACAATCCTGTTCATGAACGCGATGAATCGAACGAGTCAGAAACAGCGAAGACATGCTTCAAGTTCCTGGATCTGACGAGCCGGAGCTTCAGCGCGGTGATCAAGGAGCTTCACCCTGAGCTCTTGCTTCCCATGTGCATTTTCTACCTGACACTCCGTGGGCTGGACACCATCGAGGATGACACCTCGATTCCTTTGGAGACCAAGGAACCGCTTCTTCGCGGATTCAAAGACATCCTTGAGCAGGATGGCTGGACCTTCAATGGTAACCGGCCTGAGGAGAAGGACCGCGAGCTGCTGGTTCAGTTCCACAATGTCATCACCGAGTTCAAGAAATTGAAGCCTGCCTACAAGGCCGTTATCAAGGATATCACGGGCAGGATGGGCAATGGCATGGCTGATTATTGTCGCAAAGCTGCGCTGGACGATGCAAGCGTCAAGACAGTCGAGGAATATGACCTGTATTGCTGGTATGTTGCTGGCCTGGTCGGAGAAGGGTCGACTCGCCTCTTTGTTGAGGCCGAGTTCGGTAACCCCGCCTTGCTCAAGCGTACCGAGCTGTACAAGTCGATGGGGCTTTTCTTGCAGAAGACCAACATCATTCGCGATGTCCGTGAGGATTTCGACGACGGTCGACAGTTCTGGCCCAAAGAAATTTGGTCCAAGCACGTCACCGACTTTGAGGATCTCTTCAAGCCGGAGAATCGTGAGGCTGCACTGAACTGCAGCTCCGAGATGGTTCTCAACGCATTGGAACATGCGGAGGACTGTCTCTTCTACCTTGCTGGTCTGCGCGAGCAGAGTGTCTTCAACTTCTGCGCCATCCCCCAGTCCATGGCCATTGCTACCCTTTCCCTTTGCTTCCGCAACCCGACGATTTTTGAACGTAACATCAAAATCAAGAAGGGCGAGGCCTGCCAGTTAATGATGGAGTCGACGCAGAACCTGCGGATTCTCTATGAGGCCTTCCGTAGATATGCCCGTGAGATTCACAAGAAGAACACCCCGAAAGATCCCAATTTCCTCCAGATCGGCATCGCCTGCGCAAAGGTGCGTATGCTCTATTCGTTGCGGTTTCCTCCAAGTGTTAACAGTCGCAGATTGAAAAATTCATTGAGACCATCTTCCCATCGCAATCGGCCGAAGAGGCCAACCGGCGTGTCTTGGGCCAAAAGTCTGAAGCCGAACAGGAGAAGGCCAGGCTGGAGGCTGAAACACGCAAAGACGTCTACTTTATGATGGCTCTCATGGGCGTGATTGTGGTGTTCGTTTCTATTGTAATGGTACGTCTTGTCGCTCCTTGCCATTACCATTACTTGCTAACAACCTTCAGATTGGATTCGCTTGGTACTTTGGTGCGCGCTTCGATCTTGCGTGGCAGGAACTCCGCAAGGGGAACTTCCGCCCGCCCAAGCACCTGCGTGACCGAGAGCTATAGCCTTGTATTACTACTACGGAGTTACGACCTTCACCTAAGCTGTTTTGATATCCAGATTCTTACTGACCGTGCAGACGACTTATGTTTCTGTTTACTTACCACGTCAGTCTTGCAGAGATACTTTTACCTAATGTACCAATTAATCTTCTTGATCTCTCCACCATGTCTTGCTGTGGCTGCTCCAGCCCGTTGGTCTACTCGACCTTGCCTAGCACGGATGTCAAATTGCAATCCAGCCCTTTCATGGCTGTGGTTGTGCCGAAGAAGTGCTGATATTGAGTGGAGATTTATCTCTTTGACCCCAGTGACGTACTAGATGTGTGTCTTGCAATGTTCAGTTTTCCTGACGTTGAGATGGCAAACATCCATTGAGGATCTGGGACATTCCTTGTAATTATATAGTTTTGCATTCTGAATTGACGCTTCGATAATGGATACTTGGTGCTTCTCTGTAGAAAAGTCGTAGTCTGAGCGGCAAGACACTAGTCTTCACCGTAGCACTTGCATTTTCTTCCTGCGAAATGAAAATAAGTTTATTTGTAAGGTATTTGTAATGCGCACTGCTTGTTTGCTGGCAATTCTGATTCGCAGCGACCTCTTCCATCCCCACCTGGGAGGGATATACAGCGCAAGGAAGAAAAGCTCTATCCTTACAAATATATGAAATGCTTCTCCCATATACGCTCATTACATCCCTTGTCGTCAATGAGAAGGCTTCCAATCATCCAGAGGCCATCCTTTCTCCGCCTACGTGCAGTTCCACTTGTCCATAGACCAATTTTCCTTGTAGCAACCCGACATCAATCATTCTCAGTAATGAGCCAGAAGAAGCATCAAGCATCCCCAGACTCTAGTAGTCAACCAGACGGAAATAATGAACCGTTACCCCCGCTCTCACCAAAAGACTTTCGAACCTACAACCGAATGGCGGAGCAAATGGACCAATTCGTACGCGCCCCTACCCCCATCATTCTACCCCACTAACAACGACCACAGCACAACCACTTCCGTCTAACCTGGAACCAACTCCAAGACGCCTGCACCAGCACAGGCAAAAAGCCCGGCGGGCTCTCCCCGCGCCAACTCATCATGGCCGGGCTCAGCTTCTGCTCGCAGCTCGACTTCCACCACTCCATCGAAGAGCAGCACATCTTCCCCGTGCTCGCGAAAAAGATGCCCGAGTTCCGGCGCGAACTGGCGCTCCTCTCGCAGCACAGGCAGATCCACAAGGGCCTGGAGAAGCTGGAGGCGTATTTGACAAAGTGCCGGAGTGGCGAGGTCGACCTCCAGCGGGAGGAGATAAAGCGGCTTATGGATGGATTTGGGGAAGTGTTGTGGAAGCATCTGGATGAGGAGGTGAGGACGCTGGGGGCAGAAAATATGCGGAGGTATTGGAGTTTACAGGAGATGGCGCGGCTTCCTATGTGATTTTTTCCTATGTGATTTTTGTTTTGTTACTGATTTTAAGGCATGTTAATGTTTCTGGCGTGGCTTTGTGCTGTGTTTTGGCTGACTGGTTGTGGTAAGTTTTGGCGTTTTTGATAGACGTTTGAAGCATTAAAACTTGCATATACAGTTCTCATACTACGGCTCAACAACTTAATTAGTGAATTGTTGTTATTTTGTTTACTTGCATCATTTGGCTGTCATCCAGGGCATCTCGATGAACGTTTCGGAACATCCCCGACACCTATGCAGGACACATGATGACCGCTACTGATCATGTCTCAGCTGCAAGGAACACTCTACGGCGGAATCTACTTCAGTAAGCTTCAGTCAAATACCAAAGGACGTCATCCCGTCATGAGAGCGAACCTTAAACCAGCAAAAGTGGAATGTCCTCGGCCAGGACGCGGATCTGGCCGGCCTCGGGTCAAGGGTTCATTTGCGGGACGTTTTCGGTCGGCCATGCGATATGGACTTTGCATTCTCCAGCCAGCAGTACCTGATTCAAAGTCCACAGGACAGTATCAGCCGGGAAAGGCATGCGTCAATGTTTGCAGTTGCGAATACCCCTTGCGGCGGGAGGAATGCGGCCAACCCGCTTTCAGCGGGTTTGGTACCTGATGCTCTCGTCAGGTTACGTCGACTGTCACAAGGCACAGGCACTTGCATGGCGTCATTATTTTCATCGTTGGGCATGAGGATGAGAATATTGAGGGCTATTGACAATTTGCTTATGATCGTCCGTCCGCCTGATCGTGTATACAATGTCCATAGAGTGGGCAGAATGCTGACGAGAACCAAGACGACTCGGGCAATGGATCAAGTCAACAAGTATATTGACTGTTTACTTTGCAGCGGACATGCCGGCGCTGATCCAGCCTGAACTATTGCTCTGTGACGCACGCGGATCAAGCAGCTCTTGATTCTGAAGTGTCATCCCGTTCTGGCAGTCGATCATACTTGATTCCGTCTGTGACATGATCATTCGGTAGTAGCTTCGGAATGCTTGCGGGTTACGCTTCAGGTCAGTCTGGCGATAAAGATGAGGGCTACTTTCGGCCTGCTGGACTGGCCCAACCGCATGCGACGCTTTCCTCCAGGGTATTAAAGAGCCAGAAAGCCACGCCCGCAGCAGACTACGACGGGAAAGAGCATCGTTAGCCCTCTTGAGTGACCACCTTACCTTCCCTCGACGACATGAAGTTCCAAACCAGCATCCTCGCCGCCACCCTGCTGGCCGGCGGTGCCCTGTCTGCCCCAAGCAGCCGGTCCCTTGAGCGTATCCGCGCCCGGTCCGCAGCCCGGCAGTCCCACCCCATGGACGGCGCCGCAGCTAGCCCTGTCGCTGCGGACCCCAACGCAGCGCACCGAGCCACCGATTCCAAAGTCTCCTATAGCAAGAACTGGTCCGGTGCCGTCCTCGAGCAGCCACCCGCCTCGGCATCCTACACCGCCGTGTCAGCGACCATCACCGTCCCCGAAGCGACGGCGGTCGCCGGCGTGTCCGGCACGCAAGCCAGCTCGGCCTGGGTCGGCATCGACGGCGACACGTACGCGAATGCGATCCTGCAAACGGGCGTGGACTTCTACGTCGACGCCGACGGGACCCACAGCTACGACGCGTGGTACGAGTGGTACCCGGACAACGCGCACGGCTTCGACCTCGCGGTCAACCGCGGGGATGTCGTCGTCGTCAGGGTGGAGAGCACCTCGCCCAGCGAGGGCGTCGCCATCATCGAGAACCAGACCAGTGGGAAGTCGGTGTCGACAACGCTGAAGGCGCCGACGCCAACTGCCACGCTGGCGGGCCAGAATGCCGAATGGATCGTCGAGGACTTTCAGTCTGGGCAGACGATGATTCCGCTGGCTGATTTCGGACGCGTAGCATTTACCGGCGCCGAGGCGAAGGCCGGCGGGAAGTCGTATGGGCTTAGCAATGCTACAATCATCGATATGGAGCAGGATGGGAAAATTAAGACGCACACGACTATTGTGAGCGATAGCGAGGTTACTGTTGAGTACGTCCGGACTTAGCCTGTCCCAGCTCGCATCAGCGGTATGGAGTACGGAGTTTGTTGCACGGACAGTTCTGTGGAGATTGGTGCATGTCTGTATTTCCATATCTTGTCTTCGTTGCTCTCCTACAGCACTACTGTTTCAAGTCTTAATCAATATCCACATACCTGAAACCAATATCAAGCAAAGCCTTAGGCACTATCTACCCCCAGCACCAGTTTGTTTAATTGGTTGTTGTATACTTTATGTCAAGAACGGTGCGGGTTGCGGAATGACCACAACGCTGAGTGATAACTAGTGCGGTTTGGCGTGGTTGCTTGAAGGTGACCATTTCTACAGTGAGAATGATTAGGCTGCAGGATAGATACAGACGTGAGATATAGTCATTGGATATGACCTCGCTTGCATCTACCCAACCGCAACAGGCCGGACAGCGAACATCAAACATCGTGTGAGAAATGAAGAATCCAGATACCGCTCCTCACTCCGTCCTGTCCGTAGGCAGAGGCTACAAAACATATCGAAAGCGAGGATTCTGTCACCATCAGCAACTGCGCCGCAGCTCACAAGCAACATACATACCTCGAAATCCGTCAAATCCGCCAGAACCTGCTCATCTGCATCTCCCTCCGGCGCGGCCATGCCCTCGGCGTCTCGCCGCTTATTCCGTCTGATCAACAACGCCCGCAAGGCAACCGTGCACGCCATCTCGCCCACCACACACGCCAGAATGAGCTTGCATCCGGTCTCGTAGACGGGTGCTTCCTTAGCTAGAAAGGCATGAGGGCCGACAATGTTTCCCACGCAGTATGCAAAGAAGACGAGGGCCGTTGCGGTAACTCGTTTTGTGTAGCCGCCTGTATTGCTCGAGGGCATTTGGAGGCAGAGGACGAGGGAGGTAACGTATGATCCGATCTGCTTGGTCAGTACACTCGCACGCAGGCAAGGGGCCGGTGACTTACGATGTAGTAGCCGAAGAGGACCCCGTAGCGATTGGTTCGGGGTAGCTGCCAGAGGAGACACACGCCTATCACGGTGGGTAGGAGGTAGATGGCCATGATGATTGTGCGGATGTTCTTGAATCGCGAGGATAGGTAGGTCCCTGAAAGGATAAAGAAGACCTGGAAGGCTCCTTGTGGAATGCCTAGCGCTGTGGCCTGGAGAGGACTGGTGACCAGTCCTTTGATGATAAGTTTGCCAAACTGCAGATAATGAGCGCAGATCTTGGTGCAGAGGTGAAGAGAAGACATACATTAGCCACGCCCCCGTTACACGTCTCATTGAACAAGACAAAAAAGAACGCGAGCCAGACTTGGGGATCGATGAGAGCCTCTCGGATCTGGTACCACTTTATCGAGCGGTTGAGAATGCCCTGGAAACATTAGTTAACGGGTTCTGTGCATCACACGCAAGCACATACTGTTTGATTCTGCTTTCCTCTTCCGATAAGCAGTATCTTTTCCTCGATTGTGAATCGCTTCGCGGAGAGAATGCTGTTTGGAAGGAAAAACAATAAAATGCCTCCCCAGAGCACCGTCACGCCGCCACAAATGAGAAACACTGCTCTCCAGACAGGAAACCCATGTAGCTGACCGATAGCAAAGCTTATCAGGCCTCCGAGCTTGAGACAGTCAGATATGGTCTAAAAGATCCAAGGGAGAGCTGCTCACCATTGATCCAATGCCATTGCAGCAGTAGAAACATCCAGCTCGAAAGGGCTGTTCCTGTCGGAGATACCACATGGCAACAATCATCATGAAACAGGGAGTAATCGGGGCTAAGCCGTTAGCTATTGCAGCTGCCGGAGTAGGCACGCGCATATCAAGGATAATACCTTCAAAGCAACCGAGGAGAAAGCGGCAGATAGCCATGCCGGTGAAATTGGTGCAGGCGGCCGTTATCATGAGAATGGCTCCCCATGCAATACTAGCAATATGTCAGTCCGCCAAATAGACAAGTGACATCAAGGAACCAAGCCTACACAAAGCATGAGATGACAGTTCCGACAGGAAGTCGCTGGGCAGTCAAATTCGCAGGATACTCCCAGAAGAGAAAACCTGTATCATTAGCCATAGTGGGACTGTTGGGGCCGAGCAAGAATACCAAAGTAAAAGATGCTGGCAAGCCAGCTATACTCATTACTATTAATGTGGGCATCTTTGAAAAGATCAAAGACTGCACTGTAGCCGAGAGCCTATACCATTTAGTAAGCAATCTCTTTGGCTCGCGTGTAGGGGAGACTCACCTGCTTATCGATATATTGCAAAGCGTATGTACCGCAGAGAAGAGGCAGAAGAATCAAATCAACTCGCCTTCTAATCCTTTGGGATTTGGCGGGGTCATCGAGCATTTCCTGAAGCTGGGAATGTGAAATGCCATGCTCTCTCAGAAAAAGTTCAGCCTCGTCCAGCGAAGAAATATGACCATTCTCGATGTCATCCACCTCCTTGCCAGAGACGTTTGCTAGGATTGTGTCGGTCTTAGCTTCGTCACTCTTCTTCTCATCTAGCGGCATTTTGATGGAGTAACGATCTGATATACTCAGACACGCGTACTGAGTCTCGGTAGCTGTCCGCTGCTTCCAGTCGTACTTATATCAAGTAACCCCGCTTCGAAGTACAGGGGTTGACTGCATGATAACGCCTTTCTCCAAGTTCCCTTTCTCCAAGTTCCAGGATTCCCCTGCCAGGAGGATTCAGTGGCAACTCTATCAGCTTCAGCCTATTGATACTCCAAATGGAAATCTAGCCGACCATAGGCAGCCTGATACCGTTATGGTGCCATCACCAATTAGCATGATGAGTAGAACTTGCTGATAGTGATAAAGACGGACGTTGTCCGCAACTTTATCTATACCATCAAAGTCTTGTAAGGAAGGAATGATAACCCCACTGATCGACCTCGTATCATGACCGCTGTTGGAGTCGGTAATGATGCTGTCAAAGATAAGCCGTGTGGGGTAGGTCCACAGTGGAGGCATATTCTGGCGAGGAGTCGAGCATCGTAGGCCTCACTATCAGCATCAAAGCGGGGAAGTGGAGAGCGACAGGATGACAGGGATATCGTAGCAGTTGCGCTGCTGAATCGATAAGAGCTTGATATTGAAGGGGTCATCTGCCTCTGAATTCTGAAGGTGATCTGCCGACAACATGATTTCCTCTCACAGACTCGTACTCCTGGCTGCATTGCCTGTCATCCTGCTTTTATTCCTACAGCAGGAGTATATATCTTTCCCAATACAGAGCCGGGTTCCGTCATGGCTCCCGGACGCTGTACTGGATAAATTTATCACTCGACCAACCGTCCGACTCCGCCAAGGTATCGTCGTGGGAACGAGATTATCCGACTCCCTGCGACAACCAGTTGATGCATTCCGAGGGATTCCTTATGCTCTACCTCCGACTGGAGAGAGGAGGTTCCGCAGAGCCGTCGCAGTGGGCCCTTCGAACGATATCATTGACGCGAGTCGGTTCGGTCCACGGTAAGGATCTATCTTTCTCGAATCCAGTATGGATGCTAATCAAGTAGATGCTCTGGTAAACAACTAATAAAAGTTCCTGGCGATGCCACTAGTTCTGAAGATTGCCTAACGGTGAACGTGTTTCGGCCTCATGGCGTAACAGGCAAACTACCTGTTGCGGTGTACGTGCATGGCGGGGCATACAACCGTGGCACAGGTAAGTCACTCTCAAACAAACGTGGACAAGTCTGACTAGAGAAGCTTCAATGCACAACACTGCATCAATGGTGGGATGGTCCGAGAAACCATTCGTTGCAGTAAGCTTCAACTATCGGTGAGTCGTCGTGCAAGTGATCCAATGGACTGAGCTGAGGGATCGTTCTAGTATCGGGGCGCTGGGATTCCTTCCCTCGACAGTGTCAGCCCAGGAGGGCATACTCAATCTCGGTCTGCACGACCAGATCCTTGCTTTCAAATGGGTTCAGGAAAATATTGAAGCGTTTGGAGGGAACCCCTCGCAAGTGACGCTCATCGGTCTGTCCGCAGGGGCACACTCAGTATGTTGCCTCTCGAGATATTCGAAGACCAAAACTGATATCAATCGTAGATCGCACACCATATCATGAACTACGACCTCGAAACCTCCCTCTTCCACCGAGCCGTCATCGAGTCTGGCGCAGCAACCTCCCGCGCGGTGCACCCATACAACGCCCAACTACACGAAGCCCAATTCCAAGAATTCATCACGGAAGCTGGCTGTACCGACAGACCGCAATCGGACATAATGAACTGCCTGCGCAGTCAACCATCATCAACCGTCATCAACGCCTCCTTCACCATCTTCGACCGATACAACCCTTCCGTCCGCTGGGCTTTCCAACCCGTCATCGACGGCGACCTCATCAAGCGCCGCCCAATCGACGCCTGGCGCTCCGGGAAATGGAACAAAATGCCCGTCCTTACCGGCTTCAACACAAACGAAGGAACATACTACGTCCCGTCCGCGATGTCGCAGTCCTCCGAGTTCACAAGCTTCTTCCGCACCTTGCTCCCCGCTTACTCGGACAAGGATATCAAAACGATCGACGAGCTCTACCCAGACCCCGCGGTTGACCCGTCCTCCCCGTATCTTGAAACTAGAAATATACCCGTCGGTCCGCAGTATAAGCGCGTCGAAGCCGCGTATGGCCATTACGCGTATGCCTGTCCGGTGCGGCAGACGGCAACTCTCGCCTCGGCGGGACAGGAGGAGCCCATTTTTCTGTATCGGTGGGCGCTGAACAAGACGGTCCAGGGGGGTGCGAACCACGGTGATCAGATGGCATATGAGACGTTTAATCCGGAGGTGCGAGGAATTTCGAAGAGTCAGGAGGAGATAGCCGTGATGTTTCATGCGTACATTACCTCGTTTATTGTGACTGGGAATCCAAATGCGGTGGGGGGACGGTATGGGAATCGCACAGTGTGGAAGCCATATGACGCCTCAGTGACATCTGGACGCAAAATTATGGTCTTTGGAGAAGGGAATGATGAGCGTGCTGGTGGGAGTGGTACGGGT